TTTTCTTTTCTTTTCTTTTCTTTCATGGATTTTTATGACTGATCAGGTAGAGAATGTATCAGTATGAAATTTTTCTGAGAGAGGATAATTGCATTGTATTTACAATATAAGCACATTCTAAGAAAGAACAAGGAGCAGGTTTAATATTGCTCTTTAAAAGCAATAAGAATAAATTTGCTCAGTGGTTACAGTAAGCTATTTGAGATTTTGACATTTGGTCATTTGGTATTTAGCATCAGCTTTAGAGGTTAGAATGCACTGAAAGAAACTGGCAAGAGGGGAATTATTCGTGGAAGGTTTTGTTGTTTGTTTTTTTAAGCTAAATTTGTTTTAAAAATGCGACTAAATAAATACTACAGTGAAAAGTCTTCTGTCCTGGAAGAATGCAAGGGCTACCAGAGTTCCTCCTTCAGTATTCAAACTAATATACAAGTCTGAGCAAACAAACATTAAAAGCTTTGAAGTAATTAGGAAAAAAAACACCAAACAAACTGTGTACAGTCCATAAATATTGAGGATAGCCTTTTTCTTGGAAATATCAGGAAAACATAATTTTAAACTTTTACGTGCGCAGATATACATTTTTACAGCAGAGCCCTCAAGCGTCTTTAATGACAGTTAGAAAGGCCATTCTTTTTCAAGCACAGACCATTCTCCACAATAGCTCTGTCACCAAAAACCGTCCACCATGCATTGCATACACAGTAGATTAAGATTAGAGCTGCAATTTCTAACTCCCCCTATCAGAGGACAGATATTATATGGTACTTAATTTATTCATCTTACACTTGATGTAATTCAAACATACTTTCTTGTAACTTTTGAGAGATTCCTTCAAAAAGGAAAATAAATGCTGGGAAAGCTCTTTTATTCATTTATCCACTGCATGTTCCCTGCCTGAACTTCTTTGTGCAACAGCAGTGAGTGGCAATGCTTGTGAGCCTGAGCAGACATGAGTTTGTGTATTGTTCCTATGAGATCAAGCATCTAAAAGAGCTGTGCTCACCCTCCTTTGAGAATTTGCCTCCTCTAAGGCCGGGTTGTGCCAAACCTGAACATTTAAACCTTATAAATTAAACATTACAGTAAGGATATCTTTCAGAACTGCAGATGTATGAGATGCAGGGTTTGGGGACTAGAGAAAGTGGCCTTTTGGGGTAGTTTTAGTTTCCCAGTGTACACGTGGCTTGTAATGGTATTTCTTTGCGTCACAATAAGGCATCATAATTAGCTTTTATAAACAAAGTCTTAACCTAGAATACAGATTTAAAAATCAGGTGGAGTGTTTCAACGTTCACAGTAAGTTTGCAAAAGTTGGCATCCAAAATCAGAAAATATGTAGCAAATTCTTGAGCTTGTCACTTTGTGGTGTGTGCTGAACTTATCTTGTTTTACTCATAATATAAATACCTTTTTATCATTGTTGTTGTGTTTTTTTCCTTTTTTGTTTTTCAGCAACAGTTGGCCAAGAACATAAAATTTGGGCAGCCTCCACAAATGACAGTTTCTGCGAGGACAATGGGGGAAGCAAACACTAGTATGGAAGAGGATGTGTTGCTCAGCAGCCCCATGGAGACTGAGACTCAGCAGGACCCAGTGATCTCAGACAGTGGTAATAAAGTAAGCACTTTAAATTGATGTGTCTGTGGCATTATAGCAGTACTGAAGCAGTAAAATTCACCAGGGCATAGCAGATGTCTCCAGTGAGGCGCAGCAGAGCTCACTGGGCTGTTTCATGTGGGAGGGTTCTCTCAGCTTGTCCTTCTTGGACTGGTGGGAAGCATAATCTTGACATCCTGATCCAAGTCACACAGATTTACGAGTTTGAGTGTTTGCTCTGAACTTCCAGCAATGTAGACATTATTTGCAGTGTAGCTAGAAGGCAGGCGAATTTTCTGAGACAGAAAATATCTTGAAATATAGTCTTCCGAGCAAGGAGAGTTGTTCACAGCATCAAATGGCAAAAAGGAAAATCATTGCAAAATGAGAGGGGTTTGGAGCCTAAATCTGTAAAATCCTAGGTCTTAGGGTAAGCATCTATATTTCTCACAGAGAGGAACCAGAGACAAAGAAGAGGGAGAAGCATTTTGAATGCTCCCTAAATCAAAATGTCCGGTATAATTCAAATAATTCTTCAAATTATTCATGAAGATTTTGATATTGGGAACTGTGGGCAGTCAGGCATCCAGAAGAGTCTTGTTCAGTCAGCGAAGAAATACGGTGAGTGGGGAAAAGTTGCTGGAAATCCTCTAAGGCAAGACTGGTCAGTGTGTCGCTGTAATACCAGAAAGGAGCACAGGGAACGGAAGGACATCCTTCTGTGCCTGGAGGAGGCTGACTTAGAGCCTGAGAACCTTTGGAAAAGGCATGCAGCAACCCACCATGTACATGCAGCCCTTAAAATCCTGGTGGAACACTGGGACATGAGCCTCCACTTGTATTTACTAACACTGGTGCCGGCCGTGTGAAAGGCAAAGGCAGGAAGTGTCCTCTGCAGCTCGTGCCCAAATTCAGCCAAACATACAGAAGGGGGATTTAGGGCCAAGGTGGACAAAATTCTTCATCAGTCTTAAAGGGGCAACATAGCTCCTCTGTGACCACTTCCTTCGTGGTTGTGGTCGGATCTGTCAGGGAGCCAGGCATTTAAGTAGGACTTGCACACTCACACCTCTCCCTCAGCAGTCTGGAAGGATAAAAATGAAGCCAAAATGAGATATATTTTTTTCTGCTTCAAAATACTCTCTTCTGAAGCAATCAGCTAAGGTGAGTCAAGAGCATCCTTGTGTTTTGTGTCTCAGAGCACAAAATGTGCAGGTTTTAGCTATTTACCCTGGTACTAGGTGCAAGTCTGTGTTTGAGACCGGCATAGATTCTCTGCAGACAGCCTTCTTGATGGGTCCTGTAGGAGACCGTAATGTCACCTTGTGACCTCCAGCTTGAAGGAGACAATAGCCCAAGCACTAAAAAAACACTACAGTATTTTTGTGTAATAAGGAGGGAGAAATTCTATCCTTACCATCTACTCTTTTAAATATTACATTTTAAAAACAAAATGACCACCACTTTGCATAATTCTTTTTCCAAATACCGAAGGAGCAAACGTCCCTGCTCAGAGATGATTGTAGACACAATCAAACCAACTCTACATGTGTTGTGTAAACCAGAGCACTCAGCACTTTCCTTTTGTTTCTGCATACTACTCATTACCTGTGTTATCAGGGATAAGCAGGGAAATGAGGGAAGCATGGCAGCTTCTCTAGTTTCTTCTCTTGTCTCTTCTGTTGGCCTTGTAACTCTTCAGTGTGTCTATCTCCAGAGGTCCTGAGGGATGGGGTGGCTTCTGTCAAGAATTGGTGGCCAGGACCACGTAGTGTTTGTCTGCTTTGAACCATCACTTCCCTGTGGTGCTTTGTGACTTTTGATTTTCTTGTCTAACTTGGATCAATAGCAAGAGTTCTGGGTTTAGTTTAACCTGTATTTGTGAAGCTGATTTTTTAGGTTTCATACTAACAATCATGTGTACCTGGTGTAATGGGAACCCAGCATTCATTAGGTTGTGAAGTAATACTGTGATAGAATGATTAAAATCAATGTTTCTGGGTGTGATCAATGATGCTTCAAGCCCTGTCCCTTAAAAATTCCCTGCTGTGAATGGCTTGGAGAGGGACAGTAGCTAAAGAGTCCAAGTACTCCAGGCTTTCATCACTCTATGGGGACAGTTAGCTCTGTAAGAAGAGGAGTTGTCAAGCATATGGAGTTGAAACTCCTTGCAGCAGAGGCAATGCCTAATCAGGTTACTATATTTTTTTCTTATGTGTAGGTCAGAAGAGAATAAAGTTATAAGACCTGACTGAAATCCTACAAAACTCTACTCTTTGTTTTGGAACCTGGTTATCTTGTTAAGAAAGCCTGAATGTTTTACCTTTTGTAGTGTTTTGTAGCAGTAACTGCCTCTGTGTAGACAGCAGTGATTCAGGGAGTAGCAAGGAGAAACTCATAGCAGTAGGAACAAGAATTGTTTATCCATCAGTCCTGCAGTGACAGGAAATAGGGTAAAAATCCTATCCTAGCATGCCTGATTTCACAAGTCCTTTGAATCATATTTATTAGATCCTTTATATTTTAATACTTGTCTGTAATCTTCTTTTCTAGCCCACTGACACTCCAGATTTCTTGAGAATGCTAAATTTGCCTGGAACAGCACATGAAGTGGAAGAAAAGGTAAAAAACTCTTACACTTGGTTTGCACTGAGTTACATTCTAGTTTTAAATAGTAGAAACCTGACAGTTTCTGCTTTTGGACATATTCCATTGTTCATTGATCATCCAAGATTTTGTAAATGTTGTGCAGTTTTAGAGCTAGTACATAAGCAATAACTAAGATTGAGAAATCTGTAAGAGCTGATTGCAGGAAACAGCAGGACTCGGTCTCTGCCAGTCTTGCAGCATTCCTGCATTTGATGTATTAATCACAGAGTTATAATTTTCGTAAGTACTTCTACTACTTTGTTATGCCTGCATGTAATTCAATAAGCATATGCAAAATGTTCCTTCAGCTTTTAAGTAATTGGTTCCCTGATTAGCATGTGTTTAACCTCAGAAGATTACAGAGCTGTCTTGAAAACAATGTATGTGATTTTCTTTCCTTACAAAAGATGTTTTCTCTTTTCTTTTTTTTTTTTTTTGTCTCTTTTTCCATTTGGGTTATACCAAATACTAGTCTCGGGATGATAGCTTGGTGACTTATGGGGGAGACTGATGACAGGTTCACTCTTACATGCCTAGACATACAGTTCCACTGTATTTATTCATGAGAGGAATCTCACTGAATCACTTTGCTTATATTTGCACTTTCCAAACCCAAGTTTTTTGAAGGGCACGAGAAAAAAAGCAACCGTCAAAGTCAGTGTTGTCTTATTTTATATTTTGCTGTTTGGTGTTTGCTTGGACAGCTCCATATGACTGTGGAGGGAAGGTTTTCAGAGGCACTGTGCCAGTCTGGCATCCAATACTGCAGTCATCTCCCATGCAGATAATACAGTTCTGTACCTGTTCTGTTCTAATGTTTACATAAGTCAATCTGTCTTCCTTTTGCCTAAAGTGTTTAATCTAAATTATTTAAAGATGTAGATCTTTTTTTCACAGTAAGCAAATGTTAAAATGTCCCAGTGTTTGATGTTGCTTAAAACCTTGCCTGTGCCCTTCCCATTCCCAGTAAGTTCAGAGTGGTGCTAAACTGTGAAAAAACTTCAATTAGAGTGGTATAAGTAATTTTTATGTGACAACTATAAAAATGTGTAGTACTGAAAATGGGAAAATATTACAGCTGTAACTTTCATGTCCAAAGTTTGTGATTCGTATAATGGAAAACCAGGGTTTCCAATTTTTTCTGCTAATAACTCCTTTGAATTCAAAACTGCAAAGACATGTGTGCGCTCGCGTGTATCATTTACTTATTTATTTATTTATTTATTTATTTATTTAATGGAACAAATAGCTTAATAACAGTTTTTTGTGTTTGTGATACAAACAGGTCACTCCAGTCAAATCAGCTCGGCCAAAAAGACAATTTTCTTGTTCTGGCACAATTGAAACAATCAATTTGGATTCAGTTCCCCAGGCTGTTGCTCGTCTAGACAACAGTGCAGCGAAGCACAAGCTGTCTGTGAAGCCAAAAAAGCAGAGGGTATCAAGAAAGCACAAGAGATTAACAAAGGTATTAAATCAATGGCCAAACAGCAAGAGGAGGGGGATGACTTTTGAAGCTGGCTAAAATAATCATAACTGAGTGCACCAGGAGCTATAAACATAGGACTGTTATTCACTTAATATGCAATTAGCACTGTTACTTGAAGTCAAGAGAGAGACCTACAGCTGAAACCTGAGCTGGAGAGAAGATGTAAAGAAGTTATAATATTGCCAGCTGAGACAAGCACTACTTTAACCAGAAGTACTTCCACCAGGATTTTACCCTGGGAGAGCTTTCTGAGTCTAGTTTTTCTAGTAAAAATTTTACATCAAAGAGGCCTGAATATACCTGCCCCTGTTAATGCAGCTCTGATATAGGCAATTAGTAGTGCAAAACTTGGTTGGGGAAAAATTAAATTCTCTAAAACTGGTGTGGGTTCTGACAGGGAAAATATCCTTGTCTTATAGGAAAGAATAAGACTTAAGTAATGTAGCTCTTGCAACAGCTGTAGAGTGAATTATCAAATTTGTACACTTACTGCATGTTTCTTGTATTTTATCCTGACATCTTACTAGTGCTTGTAAATGGGACAAGATTACTAAACTACACAGGGTTCAGGAGAGGCCGCTGTCCTTTCTTCCGCACCACTGTATTTGCATTTCTCACTCTTGCAATGAAGACATTAAATTTAAACCTCTTGTTTATACAGAATGGTTAAGTGGAGCCAGATGACGTCTCAAAAAATGATAGCTAGACAGGACATTAGCTGAGCTGTTTTCCTCAAGGGAAGTGCTGGGAAGTACTCTTCAGGTACAGCTCATCAGAGCACGTTGCTACAGAGACAAGGAGTAAGCTGGGAAGAAGATCCACAGTTTGTTGCAAGTATTGCACCCACATGCCAGGGCTGTAAGGCAGACATGGAGAACCAGTCAGTGATGATCACAGAACAGTGCAATATTCCTGGGGAGCTCTAGGTTGGCTGTCAATGCATGTTCCCACAGTTCCTGCAATAGTACTGGAGTCTCAGCACATCTAATGAGGAAGATATCCTGGCTCAGGATTTGTGAAAAGCAGCAAACTGTGATTCCCTGAGCAGTGTTCTTTCCTGACTACCACTGCAGAGCTCTGCAGGCAACAGCATCTGTCTCTGCAAGTAAGAGATAGATTTGCCATGAAAGAACTGGCAAAACAATGCCCTTAAGCAGGCATTATTTTAGGCTTAAAGGATGGAAAACAGTAGAAGAGTGCTCTGTTCCTTGGACTTCTGTAAATTTGAAAGGTCAGGTCTCAATGTACACCAAATGGTGATTCAATATTTAGCATTATACTGTTATCACTGTTGGGATGTTTTCTTCCTTTTAAAGGCTCTCATTGAAATAGGTGACAGATATGGGATCTATGATGATGTGATTCATAAATTGGGGTGGATGTGTTTGCTCTGCATCTAAATGACTGTTTAGAAAAAAGTGGTTTGCATTTGCAACTCTTTGATCACTGTAGGCAATATTCAGTAACTTCAAACATGTCTCTCAATTTTAGGGATCACAAAGTTTAACAATAACAGAATTTGAGCCAGAGGACCTGGAAACTCAGCTGTATGAAGACATATACCCAGGTTATAATGGACACTTCATAGCAGACAAGC